ATGAAGTCTTTCTTACTGGCACAAAGGTAGCAGAACCTTTTCATTTTAAATGTTCCTTGTCACTTGTTTGTTTTGTTGTGACTTGTTGTATTTAGTGTCTGGAGCAACACTCAGTTGTTGTGTTGCTTCATCATTGTTAATGGTACATTCAGAGGTCTGGTCTAGGGATTAAGGCACCTGACTACCCTGTTTCCCTGAAAATAAGACCTCCCTGGATAATAAGCCCAATCGGGGTTTTAAGCGCATGTACTAAAATAAGCCCTCCCCCCAAAATAAGCTAGTTCTAGTCCCGCTTTAGGCTTGAAAGCCAGCTGAATGTCTTTGGGCCAATCATCAGTTGACTGTGAGTTCTAGTCCCGCTTTAGGCTTGAAAGCCAGCTGAATGTCTTTGGGCCAATCATCAGTTGACTGTGAGTTCTAGTCCTGCCTTAGGCATGAAAGCCAGCTGAATGACTTTGGGCCAATCATCAGGAGATTGTGAGTTTTAGTCATTCTCTCTCAATGCAACTCACCTAGCAGAGTTGTTGTCATGGGGAAAATAGGAGAAGGAAGGAGTATTAGATATTATTTCCACCATCAGTTATTTATAATAATAATAATAGACAGTACACAAAAACTGTCTAAATAAATAAGGCAATGTTTGTACAACATAAAAGAGCCATTTTCTTTGCAGGCATAGACTACATGTGTGGTTGGCAAGAGTGCAATATATTATAACAAAACAGCACCAGTCACCTCTACAGCAATGCCATGCACGTTAAATCAGTTCTTCTTGTGCTTTTAAAATACAGAGATGTATTCTTACCCCATTTCACACTGAAGCCATGAGATGTTACTGGACCTTTAACAATGGGTCTGGAGGGAGGTCCTGGTCTGTCTGGGCTTGTGGTACAGACCATGACATCACTAGGACTACTTTTCCCTTCTACATTGGAGACAATCAGCTGGAATTAAAAAAAAAAAGATTTTTTGTGAGCCCATGCTGTGTTGCACAGTACATTTATCTGCCCAACTGCTCTGTAAAAATTTACCCAATCACATTTTAGTCATTTTACCAAAATAAATAAACAGTCACCGCAATTAGACTTTTCATTTTGAATCCAAAATAGTTTCTTATGCATTATTCCCATGTTTATTTGATTGTGGATGCATGAGAATATGTTTCACAGTAATGTAAGTGGACAATTTTTGCAAGTACAGGTTCAGCAGTTCGGGGGCGGGGGAAAAAAAAGAGAGCCGGCTGCCCCCTTGTGGCACCTTGTTAAAATTGCACATAGAATTAAAATTGAACATTGAAAACACGTGGCATGGGATTGTTATTTAAAAGCAAACAAGATACACAGATTTCTGCATGCACTTCCTTGCATGATAAAACAATGCTATTGTAACTTCGAACATTTACTACTAAATGGTTGCAATCTGAGGATTATCTAACAACGTCTTTCCAATAATAAACATGCATGAAATGAGAGCACAAACTCTTGTGCTGCACAGGACAATGAAAATGAAAATGAAAGAGAAAGAAATTTACCCTGAATTTGTATTGTGTGCTTCTTTTAAGATTCTTCACAGTACAGGTTCGGTCTTCTCCAGTGTACCTTGGATGAAATGCATTATCCTAAAGGACAAATTAAGTTACCAGTTAAAGAGTAACAGCAAGCAAAAATAAATTCAGAAATATCACCAAGCAATAATATACCACTCCAATTGGGGCATGAAATATTTGTCCGACTATTGTGGAATTTGCCATTATTTGCAAATTAATCCTATCTCTTTGAATTTTGCAGTGAATGTTGCTATGCTCTGGATTACTTGTCTTTGGCCCAGAACCTAATTTACATGACTATAATTATGAGCTGAGAAGGAACTTTGGTCATTTGTTGCCAAATCATACTACAGTACCTTACTGTAGTACGTACGTACGTACGTACGTACGTATGTGTATGTGTTGTGACTCAGCAGATGTTTTCTGTGAGTCTTTGCAGGATGCAAGATTAACTATGCAGCTGGGGCTCGTTAGGGGNGGTTATCAACTAGTTAATTATAAAAGTTGACCAAAAAAACTTAATCTAAATAAAAATGAATCCTAATTTGAAAATGACTCAACATTGCTAACAATAGTTTTCATTTTGCAAAGTGAAGTTAGATGCACACATTTGACTAAAAACATCTTTTTGCAACTGTATTTTGCAATTAAAAAATCAAACAAATTTACATTTATGGGAATCTTAACAGTCCTATATAATCTTAATAGGCAACTATAATTCAATATCACAGCTCAGAAAGTAATATTAACTTTTAAAAAATTGGCTGCTACAGCTGGTAGTCTTATTTCCATTTTGATTAATTTACCATTTTTATTGAATGATGCATTAATCAAACCCTTGAGGATGGTGAAGAATCACTGCAATCAAATAAATTCAACTGAGAAATCTCTAGCTACTTGATATGAGGATTTCGAGAGCAGTGATACTTTTCTTATCTGTAGTTACATTTTCTTATGAACATTATGAATAATTGAAGAAATCACACTATTTATGAATCGAATTTACCTTCACAGCTTCCTTCTGAAACTTCTAACAGATAATTAAGGATTTCCGAACCACCGTTGTCCTGAGGAGGCTCTGTTTAAAAAAAAAAAAAGGATTGGAGAGGAAAAGAAATAATAAGCAAGTTATGAGAATGGGAAAAATTATTTTCGGTGGTGATTAGATGCAGAATCTATCTTTTAGTCAGTTGGCGGAAGATTACCTCTAAGATGGTTGTTAGTCTGTGTCCTTGTGTGACAAGTGAGAACGGCTAAAAGTTTATAAGTCCCATGTTTCTCCGAAAATAAGACTTATCTCCAAAATAAGCCCTAGCTTGATTTTTTAACATGTGCCTAATATAAGCCCTACCCCCAAAATAAGCCCTAGTTAAGGCTCTGTCCCACTGTCTGGTTGCATGAGGTGGGGTGAGGCACATGCATAAAAATCAAGCTAGGGAAGGGGTGGAGCTGCCCCACGCAGCCTGTACCTGCTTACCTTAGGACTGCAAAAGCCAGGCCTCCCACACCTCAATACTTGCTGCACCACTGCCTGATTTCTTCTATGGCTGCTTGCGGTCAGGCACCATGTAGTGCATTGCAACAGTTCTGTTGCTTGTGGCAGGACTGTGAGTAGCGACACTGGCATGATGCACCATGTGGCATCTGGCTGTAAGTGGGCGCAGAAGAAGTTGGGGACCAGCGCAACAGGTGTCAGGGCCTGGGAGACCTGGCTGCGGTGGTCCTAAGGTAAATGGGTAAGATATTCCCCCCAAAATAAGACCTGATGCTTATTTTGGGGCCCAAAAGAAAGACCCAAAAGACCGGGACTTATTTTTTAGGGAAACACGGTATAAAAGTTCCAACTCCATAGCTTTTTCAGCAGACCAGAAATATATATGTATAACAGGCCATTCCTCTTTCCCCTGCATTTCTGAACTTATTTCCTTCTGATTTGCCAAATGAAATCCACAGGAAGTAGATGAGTTTTTTTTTAAAAAACATGAATACATTTGCATTTGTTTAAATGAAGTCTTTCTTACTGGCACAAAGGTAGCAGAACCTTTTCATTTTAAATGTTCCTTGTCACTTGTTTGTTTTGTTGTGACTTGTTGTATTTAGTGTCTGGAGCAACACT